GCCATCTGGGCAGTGTCAACGACATCTGTTGATTCACCCAGTTGAAGTGAAAAATAAACACAGTTATCTAAGTCAGTTCTTAACTGTAAAAAAATATCATTGCTCATTACTTCTACACGTCTCATCACTGTATTAGCAGAAAGTTGCATAGATTGTATAGCGGAAAACTATCTCGTATTTATTTCTATAGTTGGAAAATAACGAATAGCTTCTAAAAACGCCTGTTGTATCATTTCCCCGTCTTCATAATGTTTTTTTTTGTGCAATTATCTAGGACACACGGTACGATGTTCAGTTGCAGCCTTATTTTTGTCGACTGTTCTTAAAAATATTGATTTTTGTCCAATTAACTGTTTCAGTTTCTCCTTTCTGGAGGCAGAATGTAGTGGGAATGATTTTTCAAAATTAGAATGTACAGTTTTATGATGTATCTCAATATTTCCTTTTTTAGCAACGGAGACCGAAGTATTACATAACAGACACACATTTTTATCTTTAACTTCTGTAAAAAAAGTATTGTTCTTCCCATTCCGAATGTATGTCTTTACCTTCTTACAACTGCTTGCCATAATATTATTTTTGTTTTTCTCTACTAACCCAACCGCTGGACGTTGGTTACACGTTAAGTTTTAAACTAAGCGCAATGTCGCCGCCACGGTTGCCAACAGTCGAATCTTGGTTTCTACTAGATTGACATATAAAATCTACTAAAATTCTACTAGATTGATTATAAAATCTACTAAAAATTCTACTAAATTATTTTGGGATAAAATGACATATTGGCCATCAAGAAAGAAGATTGAGGTATATGTCAAAACATAATGACATGAGGTTATAATGACATAATGTCTGTCATAGATAAGAGGGTTAGTAAAGTTTATTGTCTATGTGTCAAAATAAAAGAGGAAAATAACACAAATTAATTTTATTTAACTAAAATATATAGTTGTAAAATTTTATGGTAATTTAAACAAAACATAAGTGAAACTGGCAAAAGTATAGAGAAAGTGCCGATGAATTTGGCATAAAAGTCATGTCAAATTTGTGTTTTGCGGTATTGCCATGTCGT